GCAAAGAACTGAACGCAACCAAGTGTGTGTCATTAAAATTAATTAAATTGTTAATTTCGTGCAAATGAAATCGGAAATACATTACCAGTCCCGTTGACAAAGATCTACTCGTTCTCAAAAATGAGAACGTGTAAAGAAAGCAATGTTGTATGAAAAACGCTTTTGATGTTTTGTGACAAACAGTGAGTCCTATACGAGGCTATATAGTATGATAAGCAAAAACCCTTTGCACTCGATGTTTCTTTCAATGTATGTTACGTAATCAAATCGAATTATTGAAATATAAAAAATAATTTTGAAACGATCGATCGAATGTTTATTTTTTAATAATTTTAAAACGATTAGTTAAAATAATAAACAGAAAAAATAAATTATGATATAATCTTTCAGTAATAATTATTTGATTTTTTATAAGTTTTTTTGCATTTCTTTATATATTAATAAAAAACTAATAATAAAAAATAATAAAAAAGTTCTAACAGTGTATATGTTCGACATTGCTCGAACAATGCGATTATTCTCGAGGTCGATGTCAACCTGCTACTGTTCCAGCAAAATCGATTATCGCAAAGTCGATTATTGCGACTACTCGAAGCACTGACTTTCGATCCTTGACAATGATTGGAAATATTTTGGCCTCGATCAATATTTCCAAAAATACTGATCTAAGAGTAGGTTTATGATAAAAGTGACACAGAATCATCAAAATTATCTTATTTATTATTATTTCTTAATATTTTTTTTTCAAACTAAACTTAATAGTAATAACAAGTAAAAGATGTGATCAATTTATCAATCGATAAATCTTTCTTCTTGTAATATTCTCCTAACCTACATAATCGATATTTCAAGATTAATTAGTCAATCGATATTTTATTACGTAATATATTAGAAAAATTTTTTGTGATCGAGTACAAAGGAAACTATGTAAAAAGAAAAAATATTTATTTTTCTTTTTCATTATATAATAATTTTAATTATTACAGCACCTGTTTGATATTGTAAGCACATAATGAAATATATCTGAATAATTTATGCGAAATATATTTTAAATTCATTGTTAAGCTATGCAAGAAAGAATTTTTGTTTTGACACGAAGAAAGTATTTTTAAAATACAATTGGGAGAACCAGGGAAACGAATGCGATTAAAAAATTTCGTATATAACACTGTTGTGTGCACGTGTTGAATATTAGTTTGAAAGAGTGAATGAACAATTTATGAAACAAAAGTGACAAAAAATGGAAAAATAAGAATTGTAAATCCTGTTGATCATCGTATCTGTGTATTTTTTAACGTTAGCATTGAAACGCCTATATTCCTATGGAATCGATGATTCATGCTATAATTTTAATGACAAAAATGGATTAAAATAAAATGTTAAAAAATTAAAAAAAAACTATTCGTTTAGAGACTAATTAATTTTCGTTTTAATTAAAAAATAATTGAAATCAAATTATATATTTTATAATATAATAATAATTTCATTTTTGTCATTAATTTAAATTTTAAATATAAAATGGATATTGCATTTTATTTATATAGGAAAAATTTATTTCTAAAGATATATTTTCATTCATTTATCCAGCATTTTTGTTACAGGTGCCAAAGAAACATTATAAAAAAAATAGAACTACTATAATAATAAAAAAATGGTAATAAAATATAATCTTACATGCTATAACATTGACTTTGTCTTAGCCAAAATGGATTTATTTTGATATCAAATTTTTGTAAAAAAACAAAATAATTACACCAATAATTTTACACTGTCATTATTCATTAAACAAGTCTTTGTTTTATATAAAAATATTTTCATATGGCATTTATTATAAAATTTTGACGAAAAAAACGCACAGATTTTTTATATGCATTATAAATTTTAAAAATTTTATTTTTGATCTATTGGTAAAGATAAAGACAATGTGAAGCGCAAAAATTCTAATCAACTTCAGGCCACTTTCACACGTATCTCTAGAAATATAAATAATAATTTTAAATAATAAAATTTCTTGACTTTCAATTTTCGTTAAATTTTATGAAAATTGATTAAAAAGAATTAATATACTTCAATAAGTATCGCGATGTGTTTTGTGAACTTAAAAACGTGAGAAAGAAACCTAAAGAAAAATGCATTTTTAATAAACAAACTGAATATAGTACATACAAATATGAGAACGCTATCAAATGCAACGATTTATGTTTGATTATATCATTTTTTTTCAGTTTTTTAATTTTTATTTTATTTATTTTTAAAAACAATTTATTTTATCATATATAAAAAAAAATATTTATATATATACGATTGCTTGTGTATTTGCCTCGTTACCTTAATTAGAAATCAAAAACATCACAATTAATTGAATGCAAATATATGTATATCTAATGTGTTAAAATATTAACAAAAAATTTAATAGCAAATACATGGGCAATTATGTGAACCGAAATGAGTACTGTTATTTGTCTGATTATTGTATACAAAATAATGAATAAAAAATGTATATATATATAAAAAATGATAGTTTTAATCAAGTTATACCTATTAATAAAATATATTAAAACGTTTAAAATTTATTAGACTTAATTTTCAATCAATGTAATTTATATTTTCAATGCCAATTAAATTTGTATAAATGTTATACGATCATATTTATTTTTATTTAATATCTGACTTTTGATAAGTTCATAACAATTATGTATTAAATGTACTTATGTAGCATGTATTAAATAACAATTATAATTGAATAAATAAATTCTTGTTACTTGCAATATTAAAGCTTCGCTTTTTTTATTTTATCCTTATACATAGCTCGAGTATATTAATAATCTATATATATATATATATATTTATATATTTATATTTATGTTCATATTTATATTTATATAATATTATGTATATTCTCATCACTCATACACACACATGTAGGCGTGTAACTCTTTCCATCTTTCTTTTTGTACGTGTATTTCCGAGTTTACAACAGTCTGTCGTGTGTGTGTGTAATTGAGTGTAATTCACGGTGTGCGTATCATCTATGCGTGTCTATTTATATATACGTATATACAGTGTCGATCATTTTTAAATATTTCAATATAACATCATCAACCAATAATTTATTTTATTTAAGCTACACATACAAGGGATCGCATATTTCTCTCCCCCTTTCTTTTTTTCTCTTAAATATCATGCATGCATCGCAAAATCATCTTTTCTTATATTCACGCAAAACATGTTCTGCTCTCTCTTTCTCTCACATACATGCACACGTGCTCACCTTTTTCTATTCTTTTTCTTGTTTTTTTGTTTTTTAATTAGTTAACTCGAAATCTCACTCATTAAACAGCTCTCGAAGACTAAGGACACCCAAAGCGGATCACAGTCTGTCTCTGCATTCGTAGAATCTTAGCCAAACTCCCGGAAAGGAAATTGGAATAAATACAGATCATACATTAACATTTCGTTTCGTCACAACGAATTCTCGAATCCCCATGATTTATATAATCGATCCTTAAATACGCATTTTATAATTTTTTTTTGAAATGTTTTACGAAACATAAAATCCAATTGCAGTATTTTATCGTCAATTTTCAGATATCGATTTACCGTAAGGAATCATATAGTTTTATTTTCTTTTTTGCATAATTATATGATATTAAACAATTTTTTTCTTTAATATTTTTGCATAAATAAGGATCTAAAAATGATTCGAGTTTTCGGGACGAAATCTTGGTCCGAATAAACTCAGAATTTTTTTTTTTATGAACTCCAGTGTTCGAGAAAAGATTCTTAGAGAAAATTTCTTGTGTAACCTTATATTAACCCTTTCCTGACTGTGCTTCTAAAAAGTGTTTCTTTTCTATAATATTTTTTAATATTGAAATTCGTAAATTACATTATCGAAGAATTTTATTAAAATTGTAATATTAGCAAAAAAACTAATGAAATTTCTACATTAAGTAAACAGTGTAAAGATTTGAAAGAGCTTCAATTTTTTTATAAATTTCATGCTATATTATGAAAGATTGTATTTGAAAGGGTTAAATTACAATTAGATAATATCATTTCTGTATATAAGTAAGCTTTAAATCTAATTTATATAGAAATATAATCATTGAACACTGGAGGATTTTAATTGGAACCTAATGTTATTGTTTTAAGTTAAACATTTTTTTTTTGTTTGTTTGATATTTACACATCAAAATATCGAGCGAAAAATATGATTAAAGAAAGAAAGTTTTTTGGACGCAATTTCGTGGCAATTTTCGATCAATGCGATCGTGTTGAAATTACAAGTTTTCATTAAATTTTCACATAAACGATTGTTTTTTTTAATTAAATTATTTCTTTTCATTCACATAATTATAATTTTTACGAGAAAAAGGATGATAGCATGAAAAGATTGTCTATTAAAAAAAGCATAGATTATCATTCAATTTTCATTTTCAAATATATTTGATAAAATACGAGTTTAAGAAATTTGCTTTTGCTATCTTTTTCCAAAATGTTATTTATATATTTTTATATTATAATTTTTATTATACGTTGAGTAAAATTTTACGTGAAATATTGTGTCTAAATATAATATATATATAATTGTATTATAAATTTTGCGTAAGGTTAACACTTGAAATTTTGAAACGCCGACTGCAATATGACAGAATCAAAGATTCTGTATTGTATATTTTAATATTTTATAATTGTATCGTTGAATAGAGTGATTAATAAAAAAGACAACATTGAAAATTAATGAATTGGTCGTTTTTGATATCATTTAAATAAAATGATATCAAAAATTTTATAATCACCCTTCGTCGAACGATACAAAAAATGATATGCCAAAAGTATGATATTATATATTGGATTAATATTTAAAGATTGATTTAATAATTGTCCTTCGTGATTGTATATCCTGCAAAAAACTTTATAAAAAACATTGATAATCGCTCGTAAAAAAGACGACAATGACGGATAAAATAGAAATAGAAGTCTCCGACAGCTTTTCATAATAGTTTTTAAAATCGTAAAATGGCAGTTATTTGTCAATCCATTTGCTAAATGCTCTATTATTTTAATGGCAGTAGCTATTTTTCTTTCGACGTCTCTTGAGCTCTAAGCTAATTGAATAAATATTGGAAGAAAGAAGTATTTCTAGGCTAGTACCCGTCTCATTGCGATGAGACCTGATTGCCTGATAGGCCTTGCCAATAAAATATTAATTACAGAGATACTTTCTCGCTGCAACCTGATACTGAAATTATTGTATACTTAATTATTATATTTATAAAAAATTTAATTTAAAATATAAAAATATCAAAAGTATATAAAAAAATTTAACATAAATAAAATAAGTAATATAAATTAAAATTAATTAAAATTATCATTAAATTAAATGCATGTTAGATATAATATTATAAATAAAATAAAAAAAAAATTTACCTTATGAGGTAACGAATAAAGTACGAGGTTGAGGAGAAATATTACTAATCTTTTAAGTATTATCTAATCTTTTAACTAGCTTGTGATTGTATCACTGGAGCACCTCTGTGTAGTACCGAAGCAGGTCGAGATTTACGACTACCGGTAGCAGCCGGAAGATTTGTCGGTGGTTGAATCGGTTGCTGAGTAATTTGTTGAACTATCGCCGATTCTCTTTTTGGTATTTCCGGTGGTGATTGAAGGACATCCATATATTCACGAATTAGATTCGCAATTTGATGTGCCTACAAGTAAATGATAATAAAAATACAAATAACAAATATGTAATTGAAATATTATAATAATATAAAATTATAATGAGCTAGTTAAATTCTAAAAAAAAAAAAAAATCACCTGAGATGTCGTAAGAATAACTTTGCTTTGCTTCTTATCAGTACCAGTGATAATCATCAAACAACTAACAGCTGGACTATAACTTAAAATACTGCTATATTCGTAGGTACAAAGAGTGTTCCTGGAACGATGTTCCAGAAGATGAAGACCTTGTTGATCAACGGCCAACCACAAAACACGTGGCCAGTTTGAAGTAAATGATTGCATGACATCGAATATCGTAGCTCTGTGAAGTGGCCATGACTGAATTAAATTTAAGAAAGCTTTCTTCGCTTCAGGTGGTGTCATTCCTCGTAATGATTGATGATGTTGAAGTACACCTTCTATACACAAAGTTGGAACCAGTCTTGGAGGCAGGCAGTGACTTGATATAGTACGATAATCGTAATCAGACACAGCATTTTCACAATCACCAAGTTCTAATTGCGCTTGTAACGCTGTTAACATCATCTGGAAAAGAAATTATAAATTCAATCATGTATCATATTCGATTCTAACAATAAACTATGTAAAAAAAGAGAATTTACAGCTTCTTTTTCAGTGATAGGGAATCGATCAGCACGTAAATCATGCAATACTTGATGATAAAGTAATTCTTTTTCCACCGGATCATCAAGATTCATATACTGATCAAGGAACAAATGTTTTTTAAATAAGAAGAAATGATGTGCATGTTTTCTCTGAGTTTGATTTTGTTGTGCATTCGCTGTTCTGTAACGTTCCCATTTTGACATTACATCAGCAATCTTTTCTTCCGGTATCAGGGCTCGTTCAGTTGGACCTAAGACCTCATAAATGGCATATCCTAAAAATCCCAATTTAATCATAAACATTTATAATTTAGAATTAATGTGGAATATAATATTAATTTAGCTTCAATTACCCATGGCAGTCTCTTCTAAACCAATTTTAGTTTTGATAATCTCCATCACATCTCTAGCAGTAGCTGATGGATGAAATTCAACAGCATGATACTGCCCGTCCATAAAATGGAATCTTGCGTAAATAGGTCTGCGATTAATCGTGCACATTATCTCTTCCCTACTTGGCGGCCATTGTCTTCTTCTTGTGCCTTGCGTTCTGTAAAGGCACTTTTCAGCAAATCGGGCGTACTTCCCCTCTTCGGTAACATAATCACTAGCACATCGTTTCAAATGTGCTATTAGATATTTTCGAACAACTTTTTGTGGAGGTAAGATAACTGAACAGGCCAAAGAAAGTAACGCCCAATGCCTGAGATTGACACGACTATTAGGATCTGGATGATCCGTAGTTTGTTTAATCAACTGAAGATACAATTCACCTAATAGATTTTCTTTTCTTATGCAACGTTCCATTACGGTTTGTATTAAATTCACATGTTCATCTTCTACTCTACGAACAGTATCTCCATTTTGCCCTAATCCAGCATAAGTCAAAATTAATTGGAATACACTGAGACCCATTTGCTCATCAGGATCTGGCAGTTTCGAAAGACTTTGAGGTATAGCTTGTCTACTAAATGCCCAGTAAGCATAAGGAAATCCTTTATAAGTTTCACCATGATCAGTTGCACTACCATGCTCTTGTCTAAGTTTTTCTATTCGGTGTTTAGACAATCTTCGCAAAGTATTTCTCAAAAATCCTCCACCAGAATCTTGAGGTTTTCTTAATATCTCCGCGTCTACTAAAGTTCGTCGACAATTAACTAAATTATGATAAAGTCTAATACGATCCTCGTTAGTAATACATTTGAGTTTCTTAGTAGGAACCTCATTTTCCGTGATCCAACCTGCCAGTGCAGGACAATAACTAACGATCAAACTACCTATCTCATTTTTCTGCGGTGTTTCAAAAACAAAACACTTATGCGAACTATCAGGATTGTGTCGAAGAAGAGACAATGTTATGAAAGAATCGCTTGGATCTAACATGATGCTTTCTACATCCTGATAACGATATTCCGATAAGACGAATTTGTCATCTGGTTTAATCAACATCAATCCGTCACAATTGATACCTAAGATTAATTGATTGCCATAAGACCAATAACCTCGATAAGTAACGTTGAACATAGTCGTGCCGTAGAGAGGATATTGCATTACACAAGATAAATATAACACCTTGGCCGCCAATTCTTTGCGACCGGCACCATACTGTCTGTGTGCCTGCGCTATTATTGGCACCCAAACATCATCGCCACGGGCTCGACTAATTCGATAAGGCAAAAAACTATCAACTTCACTATAATAATCTAATCGATCGTTATCTTTTGGATCGCCCAAAGCGACTTGCGCTTGTAAGCCTGCCAATTGGAGCGCAACTTTTTCAGATACTGGAAAGTCGTCACACTGGAAAATTAAAAATAAAAAAGAAAGAGAATTAATTTTGTTTGAACGAACAAATCAAGAATATTTCTTTTTCTCTGATTTACCTTCACAACGTTATATACAGCTTGAGCATACAACATATTAACCTCGACAGGATCTTGAGATATTTCTCGAGTATTTCGGAAAAGTCTTCGTTTAAAAACGAATCGATTATCACCACTTCCTAAAGTAGCATTATTTCCACGACGAAGCGTTGAAAAGGTTGATTGTGCTGTGTTTAGTTTGCATTGTTTCCTGAGAAAATAAAATTAATTATCAATATAAAAACTTATTAAAAACTTATTAATAATAATAATAAAACTTACATTTCCCAAGCGGCTATAACGTCGTACAAATAATCATGTGCTCGTACATGTTCCTCTCCATCTGGTCTACTTTGATAAATCGCCCAACCTTCTAGAGATCTAAGACCTAACTTTTCACCTAATTTGGCAACAGCATCGGCAGCAGTATCTGTCGGATGTACATCAATTGCTTTGGTTCTTCCATCCAAAAAGAAAAATCGGCAAACTATAGTGCCTAATCGTCTCATAGCTGCAATCTCTACAGTCGATGGCGGATGTTGTCTACAGGAAACTTTCATATTTTTACAATTATCCACACACCATTGAACATACTGTCGAAGTTTGCCTTCAAGAGCCAAATTCTTTCGTAAGAAAGATACAAAGTATTTATACAATAGTTTACTAGGTTGAAAAGCAACAATAGCTAAACAGAGCAATAACCATACTCGTTCAGCCCATTCTGGATTGGGATTGTTAGTTGCTTGTCTCATACATTGAACGAAAATTTCATCTCTTAATTCTTCACGTTCAATACCGTAACCAATTATACTTTGAATGGTTGCAATTTCTTGATCTAGTTTCATTTCTCCTCTTATATACTTACAAAGATCCTAAGATTTAAAAAAGAATATTAATCTCAAAATTCATTAATGAAACAATATAAAAATATGTATAAATAATTACTTACTCTAAAGACTGAACAAGCCACATTAACATTATCAGGATCATACATATGAATATGAGAATTTGGTATAGTAGAACCTTTATAATAAGTAACCATTTCATATTTGGGAATATATTCTACACTCTTGCCACGTGACTTTCTAGTAAGTGTAGCCATTATCGTACCTTCCGGAGATCGCTCATGACTATTGAAATAATTTTGTGCAAACTCTACAATATCATGATAAGTAACTTCGTTATCAGATTCTTTTTTGTCTTCCAATTCTTGAAGTTTGCGTTCTACTCTACATTTACGTCTCTGTTCTCTTTCTACAGGTGGTTGTTGAGATTGTTGTGATTGTTGTTGTTGTTGATCATGACCATTTTGTTGTTGTTGAGGTATTGGTTCGTGATGATTATGATGTAAATGATGACTGTTTGAATTTCTAGATCCTGGTCTAGATGGAGGACTACCGGCAATTGAGTCTTTCATGATTTTGTTATTTGGTACTGGTGGAGGTGAACCGCACGATTCACCATTAACCAATGGTCCAGAATTTCCATTAATTAAAATTGGACTACTAGGACTATTTTCTTCGCGTGGTAACACAGACTCATAAATTGGCTCTCCATTATCAGTAGAAGAATCACCATTTATTGTTAAAGTAGTAGGAGGTGGTGGAGGTGGAGGAGGTTCAGTAGGTTCTGGAAGACTCGGCTGACCAAGTTTGCCAGTATTTGTACAAGGTATTCTTTGAGATTGTTGTTGCAATGGCGAGGTAACTTCTTGTCCATTTGGAGTATTTGCTTTAGATTCTGCTTTCGAATTCATTTCCAATTCTTGTTGGATTACAGTTTCTAATTCTACATCAAGATCTTCCACCAATTCGTCCATTTGTTCGCCAATTTCTTCGATGATCTGATTACCTTTTGATGATTGTACATCAGACAAGAATGAAAATAGATTGTCTAAGTCTACAGATTGTAAATCTGATGCAGCCATTTTAGAATTCATTTGCTCCGCCATTTGCGACAATGCAGCAATTTCTTCTTGTGCTTTTCTGTAAAATAGAATGTTTTATGAATATATTGAAATTTTATTTAATAATAAAATATTTTAGTTTCTAAGCGCACAAATTAGTCAGGTGCTGGTGTGTGTATTCGATAATAACGCACTAAACGCTGCATCTATGTTAAAAGCAATTATTTTTAATGAATTCATCATGCTGCAGAAATTTTAATTCGCCATTTTCGAATTACCGATGAACTTACCCGGGTTCCATTCCAACAATACCATTGTACTGCGCGCTATAAAGGACACAAACGGAATATACTATTAACACACGAACGAACGACTATTCTATACTATCACGGCATTTTCTACACTGTGAAATAAATGTGTCGTATCATATAATTCCAAAAATAATTATTTTTATACCTTTGACTTTCTTCCAAAGCTTTCTTATCTTCCATTAATCTTCTCTCCTCTTCCAATCTCTCTCTTTTCCTCATTTCTTCATCTACTCGTCTCATTTCTCTCAAAGCAGCTGCAACTTCTCTTGCAAATACACCACGCAAATGACTTTGTATCACAATAGCTGCTCTTCGTTTTCTAATAAACATTATTCTTAATTTCCAGCCTCGGTATGCATGTTGCACTTTCAATGCAGCATCTCTTATGCGTTTATATTCTGTAAAAATATAAGATTTTATCAGTAAAAATAAGATAAAGAATGTATTATCAATTAAAAATAATTTACCGCGTCGAACTCTATAACCTCTCCATATTTTTTGAATCATTATTGCATTACTAGTAACCATTTGATTTCTACAATCTTCCAAAGGTTCGTGTACATAACTTCTTAAAAATACTTTGGTCTTGCCTATTTGCCATTCGGTCTCTGGTATACCTTGACTACTAATCAAGGATCTAACAGATTCTTTTTCATTATAAGTACGCGACATACGTCCTTTTTCCAGACAACGATATCTTGCTATAAAGTCATGGAAAGGCATATGTATAGGAAAACCTTCTTTCCTGATTCTAATAATATCCAACATGCCTAAATATTTCAACTGGTCCAGAACCAACTTTTCATCATAATGATTTGCAATTTTTTGCATATTAGGTTTGATACATCTGGCATACCAGGGTATAGTAGCTTGAAGAACATCGACCAAAGCTTGCAACTGATGTCTGAAGGAATCGCAAAGCGTTGGTTTGCCTTTCGAAGTTCCACGAGACATAGTAGTCGCATTTCCACCGCTTGCACGGGCTACTGTACATCCCAAGAGATCTTGATAAACTGTAATTTCTTGCACAAATTCATTTGTACTTCTAGACATGAAATCGAAGAACACATCTTGTTGTACATCTCGATTTTTATCCACAAATCCTTCGACTGTATACGTTACGCAACCTGCGTAATGTTTTACTCCAAATTCTTTTTCCCATTTTCGTCGATCATCTCCTTTCACATAACACGGATGGTTCTCGAATTCTGCATGCAAATTGGTCAAATAAGCTAGGTCTGAACCTTTCGGCATATGGCACTGTTCGGTTAGTAATTTAAGAACACATCGTGGAGGTTTCTCGATTAATTCCAGGCACATGGTGTTGTCCGTGAAGGTGATATGGGAGTATTGGATCTCTTCCTGTCGGTACTGAAATTCAAAACGTTTCACGTGTTATGATAACCAATATAGAAGGACAAGTATCACCTAATCAACTTAAGAACGAGTTTATTTTTATTATTAATCGTTGATTTTAATAAGATAAAATAACAATTTATTACATCGATTCGAATAAACGAAATTATGTTGATAAACTTGAAATTATGATAATTGAATATAGATAATTTAAGTAAATCTCGAATATATTATTAAACGTATTATTATATAAAAATTATCGAAGTATTCAATTCAATTACCCTCACTATCTCCTGCCAATTGAGGTCAATTGAATTTCATCCTATCGATTACATAATAAGTCCATCATCTCACCCTACCATGTGATACGATCGTTAATCGTATCATATAACCGATTAAATATATAGGAAAACAAGAACGTCTAGAAACGACTTACTAGTTCCTGTTCCAGCGCGAACACGTAGTGATTGAAAAACTTGTGCAGCTTCTCATTCGTATAATTAATACAGAGTTGCTCGAAACTGTTTATGGCAAAGTTTTCAAAGCCAAATATATCCAAAACACCAAGAAACCTTGAGCTATCCTGACCAGGGTTTGTACAATTATTTATATGATTGATTAACCAGGCAAATGTTCTCGAGTATAATGCTTTCGCCATAGCGTGTCTATTTTCACGGGCTTCTTGAACCTTCAATGGTATCTCAGTGATATTTCCTCGGACGTTTATCTGTCGTATCAAAACCACCTTGGTGAGATCTTCAACCTGAAGTCCGAGCAAAGGTGCAACTGTACCAACGATGTCAAGGTCTTCTTTAGTTAGCTCGCATCTCTCACCATCCACGTCTTCAAAGTTTAAATTTCCGAGCCAAAGAATGGCAGACAGGACTCTGAAAATACCCTCGCACATTTCTGGCGCGACCTATAAATACGGAAATATAATTTATTATCTATTTATTTTAACAATGTATTTTAACGATATATTGAATAAGAAAAAAAAAGAAATCAAGAACAAGAAAAAAATATTAAAGAAAGGCATTATATTTTCATGTTTTAAAATATTCTTTGATAATTTTCTTATATTTTAATTTTCTAAATATTTATTATAATTAAATAATTTTAATTTTTTAAATATTTAAAATAAACTGTATAAGTAAAAAGAAAATATTAAATATTTCAGTTATATAGAATTATAGAATTGTTTACACATATTAATATTAATGAATATAACATTTTACGATATCACTGATTATGTATTAATTACCTGTAGTACGTTAAATGCAAGCCTAAGAGCATCCAGTTTCTTGCAGTCAGAGATTCCATCGATTTTCACGCAGCCAGACTGATTCAAATATTTGTAATGACTGGCTGGCATCAGTTTATATTGTTCGGCGAATTCCTTATCCCTAGTCCCAGCCTCGACCAGCTGATAGAACACGTGGTAATTTCTCTCGCCGGCGCTTTGAAATGTTATGCGACTCTGTTCGAGTAAATAATCTTGAATGATGCATCCCTTGATCATCCATTTGCTGTCGAAGCATACTTGCATAAACTTGCCAAACCGAGAGCTATTATCATTCCTCACTGTCTTTGCGTTTCCTGTTTTATAAATATAATATTATATAATATTATATAATATAATATTTTTTTAATAAATATAAAAATATTTAAATAATGATTATTATGAAAGAAGAAATGTTAATTTTCATAAAAATCTTCTGATTAAAAAAATTTGTAATCGAAAAAAAATAATGGAAAAAGAAATATAATATTTTAATATTGACAGAATTAAACGATGTTGAAAAATATTTTTATAACGAAGTTAAAAAACTTTGAAGTGGATGCACTTTGTCGAGATACAAAAGGAAACGATACAATTTTCATGACACTCCCCTTAAATCTTTTGCCTCTCGTGACCCAGTTTTTACCCCTCGCGCTTTTACATTTAACACCTGACTCATTCTCGGCCTCTTGACTTCGAATAATGAATCCCCTTTATTTTTTAAATGGTATTAAGAATAACGTTCATCGATCCATTTCATAAAAATCTTTTACATTCCGTTTATATTTCTTTTTTGAGCATTGTCTTCAGAATGAGAAAAAAATCTCGAAAAAAAGATTCCTCTTGGACTTTTATAAAAGGTGTTTATAAAACAGTTTCATAATAAATCTATTTTTAATGAAACTTGAACAATTTCTAGTTTCTTCATTTATGACCATTTTTAATTAACAATGATTTTATGAAGAATGAAGAATTTGAATTAACAAATTTTAATAATTCCATTTGCAAATGTAATAATGTAAAATAGAATGATAATAAATTATGTTTAATGCCAAAAATAATCCAATCAGGTTTAAAAAGTTACATAATAAGTTTCCAATCGATTTTATGAAGAACAAAGTTTTCGTGTTAGCGTGATAAGCTACAATTTTCTGGAAAATTAGGAGCAGGAAGTAAATTGAACGAAAATATAATTAACGGATAAAAATTGATTGTTAACAAGATTATATAATTACCGAAAGCTTCGAGGATGGTATTCGCTTCCAAAATTTGTTGTTCCACCCACGTATCGACATTACTGGTCACCGAGCAAAGATACTGTAAGATGAATTTTGTGGTTTCCGTTTTGCCTGCGCCACTTTCTCCCGATATCACACAGGATTGATTGCTCTCTGTATCTTGAAGTGACCTATACGCCGCCTCCGCCAATGCAAATACATGTGGCTCCAACGAGCCCATTTTTTGGCCATGGTATCGATTCACGTATTCCTAAAAAATCGAAAAATTTGATTTCTTTTTTTAGAAAATTTCTTTTCAATAGAAAAAACATCATAAAATTATTCATAAAAAAGATTTATTATTTTTATGGAATTTAAATTATTTCTACTATATAATACTAATAATTCTACTATATTATTTTGGTAGTGAGGTAATCTTGAGATGTTATCGACGATATTGAGAGTGTAAGATTTATACAATTTTATTTCCGGAGGAAGTTTAATTCACTTGTCAATAAGACTATCTATATCTATAAAAATATCTATATATATAAATAATCTATATAAATATAATATACGTGTATATTAGACAATAGATATAGTATTTAATATAGTAATCAATGAATGATCAAATGAAAATTGTAATAATAAAAATTATTAACAGATTTCTTTGAAAAAATAATATATATAAGATTGCAAATTGAAATTTGATTATTATAATTTAATTCATAATACTTACTTATTTTTTTGAATATTAAAAACAAAATTGAACAAAGAAATTTATCCTATTTCAATTATTTTAATACAATAAATATTTTAATACATTTTTTTTGTTTTTTTCTTTCTATCATAGCAAGAAACTAATATAATTCATTAGTTTTAATTATTGTTTTATCATCGTGACAAATAGATTGCGATAATTCAATTTGAATTAAAGGCGATAGATAGGCTCAACAACCCTGGTAACCCGATTAATTCCAGATGTCATTTAATAGGACATTCAATGTCCAAGTTCCATTCAGTCCCTTTCATTTACTGATTCCCTTGTGAGATCGTATCATAGTTCTAAAAGATATATACATCAATAGTTCGATTTCAAAGAGATTAACGCTTTGTGTTTATATCATTCGTATCAGATGGTCCACTGCTTGCAAAATCTGTTTTATTTAACATTACGAATTTATTATTTATGTTCATATTTATTACTATTTCAAAAATAATACAATACAATTTTTCTTCTTTAATTTAATTTAATATATAAATTATAATAGAAATAAAAAAAAAACATCTTCTATAGCATATAAATTAAAATAAAGAATAATAAAACAAAACGAAATAAAGAAAATGATAAAAAAAGTTTATACCTAACTTTTTTAAATCAATTACACATTTATTGCAAGAATTAGAGAAGAACAGCATGCTATTAGTTTATCAAAATACTGGAATTCCATAATTTTTAAACAGGAAAGATTTCATTTAGACAGTTTTTCATGAATCTATGCATCCATGCATTATACACATTATTATACGCATTAGACAGTAGCTGGTCTCGTGCTTGCAGCCAGTACTGAACGAAGTAGTGCAACCCAGTTTCATGTCAGACACGTCCTCTGCGCAACTGCGAGCGCAGAGAACGTTAATTCACTAACCCTCATGGCTCGTGAAAATTCATCGAAACGCTTGATCCATTTCCATAAAACCGCAGAGAACTCTCAGCAACCTACCTTCTACCTTCTGTTACATATGTACATATATTCGCTATGTCTATAACGAAAGATCGAGTCTACAACGATTCAATAATTCTATCTAGATTGGAGTGTTACATGGAATTCTCGCAATTTACTTTATTTTTTCGCCGGGAGAGGGAGAACGCGTCAAGATTTCAGTTGCAGTATTACAAACCGCTTCAAAGATGCATTCGAGGAAATGTACATAGACTGTGAAGAAACGAGAAAAAAATTATGCAAACATAACTGTATGCAGGGTGAAATTTACGTAACTGGAATTTCGTGAATTGCTTGGTAAATATTGATGTTGGCAAAAATTGGCCGAGATGAAAGTCACGATATTCTAACGCACTCTGGTGAAATATTTAAAAAGTTTTTTTTCTTTAATATTCTTGAATATTTCAAATTATTTATTGATTGCTATATTTTTGAGAAAGAATTTTTGTAAAAAGAATAAATAGTATTGAAAGAAAAAAAATCGATGTTATTTCCAATATTATCAATAATCTCCATTTATAAATTTTTCTATATATATAAAATATGCTCAAAAATACGCCATCTGTCGTATTTTTCAAATAACTAATGAAAGTTATTTTCCTTTCTTTTCTGAATGTAACCAGAGGATAAAGATAATACTAAGGAGATACTTTATCGGATATGTTCAAAAGGAATTATCTTCAGGTATGTTTGCATGGAAGATAAACTTAAATTAGTGGTCATAAGTTCTTGAGAAAATAAATGGTCTCCGTTAAAAATAGTGGAATACAACGAATTCCAGGTGGCTGTCATACGGAAGTCCTATAGGCATATCTTATCTGTTTTCTTTGAAAAATACATATATATATAAATGTGCACATATATATATCTATACATTAGCATATGTGAATACATGGATTTTCGATAATCTCTATACTTTTTTATCCATGATTGTTTGTTTTTTAAGAATGTCAATTTTTAGCAAGCTGCTATTATTAAAACGATGTTTGAACAGCTCTTAGCAGGTTATCTAACTTTTATTGCAAGATTGTTTCGTTGGAGGAACATATCTACTGCCGAAAATGAGATTTTTTGAAATATTACCATTATTTTTTAAACCTAATATTTCTTCAAACAACACTCATCCTCATATACTAATAATATAACTTTTTAACTCATTTAAAAATTTTTTGTTTAATTATAATTATAAAATAAAATAAAATAATTTTCAGTTTTATGAATATTACGATACGATATGAGAGAATATTATAACATAATAAAATTAAAAATAAAATTTGTAAAAATTTATTAAATTATTAAAAAATTATTAAAAAATAACTATAAAAAGATTGTAAGTATAAAGATATTAATTTGCCTTTAAATTCTATAATTTGTATGCTATTATCCCAGATTTACAATTCTATTATCATACGTGTCCACATTTCAAAGCGTAATGCATATCTACTTATATCTATTTCTATTTCTTTCACACCATCAAAAATATCTTTCGGATTCTCAAAAACTTCTTCCTCTTTGTAGAACGGAACAAAATGACTGGCTCTTTGCTTTCACACAATGGTCGGAAAGAAAAGAACAGAAGAAAAGCGCGGAAAACGAGCGAGCTATGCGCATCGCGAATGTTTTGACTCGAAGCGAGTACTTGTGAGCCTCGAATGAGCGAAGAACTTGTGTCCCCATTTATTCCTGCAGCTGCGACTGCAAAATCAGTGCACGGTTCGCCGACTAGAGGCCACGACTCGTGTCAGGACACCGAGGTCGTGCTTACGACCCCTCTTTCTTCGATGGTGTCGTTGCCCGACTGTGCGCAAAGACGAGCGGAAAAACGAGGTTACATCGAATCGAACATAAAAACAGAATTGTTTTCCATATATTTGCTTCTTAATCCTTCTATTGCATATTTATTTAATTTTTGAAAAATATTTTAAAATATAATCCGATAAAAAATTCATTTTCAATTTCATTTTCAATTTTTGTTGCATTTTACATGTTAATAATATATATATCATAATTTTAGTAAAAAAATTGTTTAAAAGAGATTCCCAAAAATTTCAAAAATTAGATAGTCAATCAAATATATCAGAGGATATTAATATATGTAACACGGTAAAAGAAAATATATTTTAATGTTGATTAATCGCATTGTTCGTTATTAATTAAAGTTATAAAAATTCGAGAGAATTGATTAAAGATATTTGAGGATTCTCATATTATATAGAAAAGAATAATAAAAAGAGACTTAGAGATTTCCTCTAAGTTTGTTGATTCTTGGTAATTCGCAAAGAACGTCATAAATAACTTTTATGGGAAGCTGAATGAAAATATGTATTACCAATTGAAAAAATTATAGCGAAATTATATTTATTTCTTATATTTTATTGATATTGAAATTTCTAAGTTAAGATCGAAAATATAATATTTTATTCTGAAATTTTTTAAATATTAGCACGATTATAATTCAATACATAAAAAGATTTCAATTTCTATATAATAATCTCAAACATCAAAATTTTTCATACATTAATTTTGTCTTTATTTTTCAATTATAACTATAAATCAAAATGCATTGACTTTAATTTTAAAGACATACAAATCATGATAACAAATTTATAAAAAATATATATATTCTAAAA